AAGGAGTGCTTGGCACATGCTGACCGGTATTTTTTATCCCTCATTTCATTTATAGTCAATAAACCTTGATTTGTTCATAAATAAACAGGAAAGGCCTATTCTGTCAAATATACACTTTAGGCACTTTCCTACTGGTCATGGGAGAAGGGAATTAGGAACTAGGATGGAACACGACCTTGTGGTTAATGCTGGAACCCAGCTCAAAACTAAAGCATTACCAGCGATAGCATCCTCTTGGTATGTAAGTAATAGGAAGCTAGTTTGAAAGGGTAACAGGAGAAATCAGAGCCATATCTTGGATGGCCTAATTCACTCCTCTGTTGATAAGCATTTGAGATAAAACATAGTCTAATACTAATGATGTAGTACACGTGTACATTGGCTTACCTGACCTTGCTCATCCTCTTTGTTCGCTTAACCCAGGGTTTCTACATTATTAGGAAAAGGTCATCTACCTGGAGGTTACTAGATACAATGGGAAAAAGTACCCCAAGTTCCCCTAAGCTAGTCCTCACACACTTCAGTTACGCTGAGTAAGTGACCCACAAGGTTTCCTATCAGCACTATTTCCGGTTTGGCACAGGGGTCATCCCTATAGCACAGACTGTGAAAATGAACACAGATCCTATCAGGTCACACTTACGGGTAAGCATGTGGGGGCTTAACATAAATGATTAATTAAATGGCTTCAGAAATCGCATAGAGAAAAAGTCTTTGGATTAAAAGCACCAGTGAAACAGCTCCTGGTGCCCACATGTGGCAGGCTGTTGGTAATTTTCAGCAGCTTTCCATTGTTCAAGAATTGCTTAGGCATAAAATAAATTGAGCTCCAATATGTGATGTGTGTTCCATTAATGTTGTGACAAATTCCTTTCCAGCTGTACTTTGATCAGAATTGAAAAGAAAAAAGTCCAAGAAAAGGCAGTGTTAGTCTCTTACAGACCACACAGAAATACATATTTCAAAGAAGAACTTTTTGGGTGGGTGGTTAAAATGTACGTTTTGAAGGAAGAACATGGTAGTGTATTATACTGTCCACAGTGTGAAATCATTAGCGTTTTAGCACCAGGATTGAAAGAACCTGGAAAATCATTCTTTACCTAGATATTATGTGTTCTTTTTTTTGGGGGTAGGGAATATATCTTTTATTTGAATACTTTCCTATAGGACTCAATCCTCTGGTATTTATCTGTGTGTTCTGAAAAATAATTCAGGACACAATATGTCACAACACATTTTGTAATAAAGCCAGCCAGAAAGGTATCTTGATTAATTTAATTTTCTCTTAAGTAAGTATCTGTATATATAACTTTTATTTTTTATTTTGTAGATTTCATTTATGTGTCAGAGATAGAGGAGAGAGAGAGTGAACATGAGTAGGGGGAGGAGCAGAGGCAAAGGGAGAAGCCGGCTCCCTGCTGAGCAAGGAGCCTGAGGTGGGACTTGATCTCAGGACCCGATTCTGACCTGAGCCCAAGGCAGACACCTAACCATCTGAGCCACCCAGCTGTCCCTGTAAATGTAACTTTTAAAAACCAAAAAGAAGGGCACCTGGGTGCGTCAGTGGGTTAAGCTGCTGCCTTCGGCTCAGGTCATGATCTCAGGGCCCTGGGATCGAGTCCCTCATTGGGCTCTCTGCTCAGCAGGGAGCCTGCTTCCCTCTGTCTGCCTACTTGTGATCTCTCTGTCAAATAAATAAATAAAATCTTAAAAAAAAAAAAAAAAAAGAAAAAGAAAAACCAAAAAGATATTCCCTGCACTGGCCCTGAACTTTGTATTAGGCCAAATATTAAAAAAAAAAAATTGAATAGGGATGTTAGAAAAATGTGTGTAAGCCATGGAATTAAACGTGCAGCATGAAATAATGATGAATTAGCATATGAAAAACCTCAGTTCAGGCAAACAAGAAACAAAGGGCAATCTGTGACAGAGTTATTCCAGGTGTGATCTGTGGACCTCTGATTCCATTTATATGAAATATTGGATTTGATGCTACCCCACAACTTTTTTTTTTTTTTTTTAAGTAATGTCTGCACCCCACATGGGGCTCAAACTGTCAACCCAAGATCAAGAGTCGCAGTGCTGTGTGGCTGAGCCAGTCAGGCGCCCGTCTACCCTACTGTTGCATTGTTATTTCGCAAGATTAGCCCACAATGAGTTGGAAATTAAACAAACTACTTAAAAAGCAAACACATACTAGTCTTTCGCTACAGGCAATTTGAGGACCACTAGACTACAGTAACTAAATTCACCATTAAGCTCTAATAGTGAATTTCATTTTTAAGAGGGAAAAATTAATCTTACCAAGAAGTGGTGAGACGGTGGTGAGAGTTGCACAGCTCTGTGACTCTGCGAATAACCACTGAATGAGACATTTCAAAAGGGCGAATTTTTGCAGTGCCGTTTTTTTTTACAGAAATAGAAAAATCCACCCTAATACTCATACGGAATCCCCAGGGACTCCCAAGTAGCCAAAAACAGTCTTGAAAAAGAACGAAGTTGGAGGTCTCACAGTTCCTGATTTCAACATTTACTACAAGGTGACAGTAATCAAAACAGTGTGGGGGCGCCTGGGTGGCTCAGTGGGTTAAGCCTCTGCCTTCGGCTCAGGTCATGATCTCAGGGTCCTGGGATCGAGCCCCACATCGGGCTCTCTGCTCAGTGGAGAGCCTGCTTCCCCCTCTCTCTCTGCCTGCCTCTCTGCCTCCTTGTGATCTCTGTCTGTCAAATAAATAAATAAAATCTTTAAAAACAAAACAAAACAAAACAAAACAAAACAAAACAAAACAGTGTGGTCCTGGCATAAAGACAAACACATAAGCCAATGCAACAGAATTCTGAGTCCTTAGATTATTATGTATATGGTCAGTGACCTTCAACACAAGTGCCAAGGTGGAAAGGACAGTCTTGTCAATAAATGATGCTGGGAGAATTGGATATCCACATACAAAAGAATAAAGATGGATCCTTCTCTTACACCATATACAAAAATTAACATGGATTAAAAGACCTAAATGTAAGACCCAAGACTATAAAAATCCTAGAAGAAAACATAGAGAAAAAGCTTCATGACACTGGATTTGGCCATAATTTCTTTTCTTTCTTTTTTTTAAAGATTTTATTTATTTATTTGACAGAGAGACCACAAGCAGGCAGAGAGAGAGGAAGGGAAGCAGGCTCCCTGCTGAGCAGAGAGCCCGACTCGGGGCTCGATCCCAGTACCCTGGGATCATGACCCGAGCCGAAGGCAGAGGCTTTAACCCACTGAGCCACCCAGGCGCCCCTGGCCATAATTTCTTAGAAGAATACCTAATGCACAGGTAACAAACCCCCAAATAGATGAATGCCACTGTATCAAACTTAAAAACTATGTGCCTCAAAGGACACTATCAGTAGAGCAAAAAGGCAACGCAAAGAATGGGACAAAATATTTGCTCATCATGTATCTGAAAAGGGGTTAATACCCAGAATATACAAGTAACTTCTGCAGCGTAATAGCAGAAAAACAAATACTTTGATTAAAGATGGGCAAAGGACTCAAATAGATTTATCTCCAGAGATGATACACAAATGGCCAACAAACATATGAAAAGATGCTTACTTAAAAGCACTAATCATTAGAGAAAGGCCAATCAAAACCACAATGAGGGGGTGCCTGGGGGGCCCAGTCCTTAAGTGTCTGCCTTCCACTCAGGTCATGATCTCAGGGTCCTGGGATCGAGAGCTCCGCATCAGGCTCCCTGCTCGGCGGGAAGCCTGCTTCTCCCTCTCTCACTCCTTGTGCTTGTGTACCCTCTCTCGCTGTGTCTCTCTCTGTCGAATAAGTAAATACAATCTTAAAGAAAAAAAAACCACCCACAATTAGATATCATCTCATACCACCAGAATGGCTGCTATTCAAAGGAACATAAATTAGTAAGTGTCCGTGAGGATGTGGTGACACTGAAACCCTTGCATACTGTTGGTGGAAGTGTGAAATTCTCCATACTACGGAGAACAGTACGGAACTTCCTTCATAACTTAAAAATAGAATTCCCAGATGATCCATCAATCCCACTTCTGGGTATATGACCCAAAGAATTGAAAGCAGGATCTCGAAGAGGTATTTCCAAGCATGGCTAGCACCATTCTTCACAATAGCCAAGACACGGAAGCAACGCAGGACCCACTGACAAGTAGATAAACAAAATACGGTATGTCCAAATAATAGAATATTATCCAGCCTTAAAAATGAAGGAGATCCCGTTACAACCTACAACATGAACGAACCATGAGCACTTGTTAAGTGCATAAGCCAGTCACAGAAAGGCAAATATTGTATGATTCGGTTTATATGAAATATCTGAAGTAGTCAAATTCATATGTATGTATGTATATATGTATCTATTTAAATGCCAGTATAGGTAACACGCAATATTGTATTAGTTTCAGGGGTACAATACAGTGATTCAGCAATTCTGTACTTGACTCAGTGCTCATGGTGGTAAGTGTCCTCTTTAATCCCCATCACCTAGTTCACCCATCCCCCCCACCCTAAAGTAGTCAAATTCTTAGAAATGGAAGTGGAATTGGGATTGTCAGGGCCTGGAGGAAGGGGCTGGGGGCCGCTGTTTAATGGATACAGTTTCGGTTTTGCAAGACAAAAAGGTTCTGGAGATCTGTTGCATAACAACGTACTTAACACGACTCAGCTGCCCATTTTAAAATGGTTAAGATGGTAGGAAAAAAAGGGAGAAAGTGTACTTTATAGTATGCGAATCATATATCCCCAAAAAAGTTATGAGAAAATTTTTAAGAAGCAAATTATACAACTATTTGTAACATAAAAAATGTGGATATAGAACAGAAATAAAATGTAAGAATCTACTGAAAAAATGTTAACAGTGTTTGTGTCACAGATGAAAAAAATGTCTATTAGACTCTTCTGGAAGAAGCAGCGCAGTTACCCGCTGTATAAAACAAGGCGCTGTCGGTTGCGGGAGAAGCGAGAAAGGCGCTACCTGGGCTGGAGTGCTTGTAGTCACAGGAGACGGAGAGTCGCTAACTTTCGGCTCACTTGGGGACGCGGCTGACCCCTGTGACTCCTGGCTGGCCGGCTGGTCTGGAGACAAGGCGTCACTGCTGTCTTCGTCAAACGAGAAATCGCCCTGAGTCTGAGGATAGTCCTCCTTCCCAACACCTAAAGAGAGAAACGATTTTTAGCTTATCTTGGCCTTGGGATAGCAAGCTTAAAATGATAAAGAAGGAGAAACACTGTTTATTACAAGAACAGAAGCAGCTGACTGAAAAAGAAAAAAAGAAATTGAACATAATGTACTTCCCAGGGAAAGAACGCACTGCTACCTATGATGAGTACTTGGGGGAGACGTCAGACCTGACCAGATCAAGCCTTTGGATCCCACTCCCAGTTTCCACAAGTACAGAAGACAAGAAAAGTTTTTAGTGACACTGGGAATGCGAATGCATTCAGTAAGATCCAGCGTGTGGACCGGCTAGAGGACACAACAAGGCCTGCTCCCCAACAGATACACGGTAAGAAAAGAGAGGAGGAGGAAGACCCACGCGGGTGATTAAGACTTAAGAGAGACATCAGCCAAAGACAACGTGTGGCCCTTGTGTGGATCCTGATTTGGATACAACTGTTAAAAAAACATTAACAGGTGTGAGAAAAAATGGGGCGATGACTTGGTGTCTGCTGATGAGTCCTACTTCTGGGAGAGGCCCTGTTATACCGACGTCTTACCTTTTGGGGCTCCATTTCTTTGGGACTGAATGGAATAATCACTGAATGTACTACTTAGGATCACTGACTAGAAACTGCCTAAGATTTAAACTCATACTAATGCAAAATACCAAGTCCCCAGACTAATGGAAATTATAATAGTTTTTATAGTAGGATATTAACTTTTCAAAAACTGCTTGCTGAGTAAGTGGTATTATTCCAGATTTTTTACTCCGCTAAAACTTATGCCAGAAAAGAGTACATGTATGTGCGTGTGTTGGGGGTGGGGGGAGGAGTTGGCAACATTATTAACTAAGTATAAGAGGATCAGGATGAAAGGACAGATATTACCCTTTTTAATAAACACATCTGTACTCATGTGCTGTTTGCTTTGCTGAACTAACACGGAACAAGCGATTTATCTTTCCTAGAAGTAAACAGAATGGAAAAGTCTGTAAAAATCTTCAACAACACAAGAGGAATTAAACCGAGTAATGTAAAAAAGTTAACTTAGAAAACATCATAATGAAATCGGAACCTAAGGACATCAACCTCAGACGTGACAAGAGGAATCCTTGTATTAACTGGTGAGAGACGCCAGTCTTAGCATACATAAAGAAATAATAATAATGGGAAGTGGTCCAAGTGTTAATTTCTGCTTCACGCAGAAAACAACACTCATGACTGGTGCTGGCTTTTTGGATTAAATTTGTTTTAAACTTCTAAGTTCCTCTTTCTCTCAGAAAAGCGTAAATTTTTAGGGTCTTACCTATAATTGCCTCCTTAACACTGGAGTCTACAGGAAGGATGTTCTTCTCTACCAGCTCCATAGGACCAGGTCTTTGAGCAATCTTTTCATTCAGATCATCTGCCAGTCGAGCTCTTTTCAGCTTCATCTGAGTGGCCTGCAGGGACGGCTCTGCAAATGTCTCTAAAAGAAGAAACACAGTTTTAACCATTACTTGAATTACTCTATTCCATAATGTTATTTCAGGCCAAGAGAATTTAATTTAAACTGGCTTAAAAGAATTCATATTTATGTGCTCTTGATGTATTTACGGACAGAGAAAATGACCATCTGAAAATGCTCTGGTATACATTTATGTATTTTTAGTCCTGGACACTTTATATTGTCTATACAATGCCCTCAGACTCAAATTAACATGGACTGAAGCCCAGAACCGGGGTACTGCTACTGTTCATTTCTGGCAGGAGGGCCACACTCACATTTATTAGGGGCTGGAGATATGGAGGATGGACAAGGGAGATGTGGTCCGCGGCTCAAGAAGTACACAGTTTTAGATTGGCTGCACTGCAAAGCCAGTGGCTAGAAACGGGGGCCACTGGATCTTACTTAGGTAATAAGCTTTTCTGCAGGAGTTAATGGGAAGAGCTACATATAGATCGTATTCTCAGACTGATCCCTATGTGTCTCAGAGTCGGTCATCATAATTAAGAATCTGGGTTTAGTTCTGAATATGTAACTCTGAAATTTCTAATTACAGGGTAACTACTGGTCATAAAGAAGCCTCAACTCATCTACTTACAAATGGATGGGTTGTACAACAGATGCAAAACTAATGTAAGTATTGTAACTCATTCATTTGGGTAATTCTGCATTTCTGGTACCTCTCATTAACATTTTATAACATTGTTCTTAATAATGTTTATAACAGATAAAAAAAAAATGGTGAGGTGTTAACCCAAAATTCTGAGTTGACCGTTACTTGCCTCGTATATAGTAGGTCTTTGAATGAGATTCCCCATAAGTAATCTCAGGATAACTGATGTTCTTTTTTGGCAGGTAAAACATCCTGGATGAAGCCCATGGCCTATAGACTACTCTCCAGCACAGCTGAGCACTTTTCTTTCCACCAGTTGAGTTATACGCTTACCGAAAGTCAACCTTGATTGTCCACGAAAGAGTTCCTATCAGTTCATATCTGATGTCAATACATAGTTGAACCAAATGTTATAGGAAAATAATAAGCTTTGAAAATTATTTCTTGGGAACCTAATTTAAATACTTTGGGATGATTTGATAAAGGCGAGTCATTAAAAAAATAAACTGGTATCAAATTAGGGCAATTTGGGGGACCTGGGTGGCTCAGTGGGTTAAGCCTCTGCCTTCAGCTCAGGTCATGATCTCAGAGTCCTGGGATCGAGCCCCGAATTGGCCTCTCTGCTCAGCAGGGAGCCTGCTCACCCCCCGCCCGCCTCACCTGCCTCTCTGACTACTTGTCATCTCTGTCGAATAAATAAATAAAATCTTTAAAAAAAAAATTAGGGCACTTTAACAACTACACTGTTTGGGGGAAAATGACAAAATCTAGGATTTTCAACTCAGATTGCTTTTCAAGTGTCTTTATGTTGTTTTTTCCACCCTAAATGGAAACTGTAGATGATGTATGACAGCTGTGGTTTATGCCAGAAAGATGATGATCGCGCAGATCACTCTCAGGTTGATGTTTAAATGCTTTGTTAACATTTAGGTAGGACAGTCTTTTTCCTCTTTCCCATCAACACAACCAAGTGATATCAGCAATATGTCTGGAAAAGCAAAAAAATGAGAGGCTGGCATTTTTTATGTTTCTGTTCTTGGTCTTACCATCTCCTCATCTCCCAGCGCTGAGGTTGGATTTTAGCTGAACTTCAGAAAAATAATTTAGACTTTTGCCTGCCAAACATCCAATTCGATCAAAATTGGGATAATGTTAAAATAAGTTGAGGGGTGGTTGGAAGTTATCTTTTAAATTACTGATGATAAATTCTTTCTTACTTCAAAAATCCCAACTTGAGAACAGATGTCCTAAAAACATCACTTACGGTTCACTCATATACACGATTAGGTTTTTAAATGTTGAGTTATCTTTTTTTAAAAAAGCAAATATGATTCCTTTGGATAGTTAACTGTGTTTGCCTTGGTTTTAATGGTATTAATAAAGCCAGTTACAGTTAGAAGGCAAGTTGAAACAGACAGCATTGTTCCTTCAAAAAATGTCCTTTATAGGTCAAGTAGGCACAGAAGTAGACACTTGTCCAGTTAACTTACTGGTACATTTGCCTCTTAAAGATTCATTTATCCCTGATAGCAGGTAGCTGTTCGGTCCCTACCACTGCCATTCTAGAAAGGCTCTTAGTCCAACGGACTGCTGAAAACATAACCGAAAGTAGTGAAAGGCACAGACCTCCCACCTCCCACCCCAGATAGAAAGACTGTCCCATAATCACAGATTCTCTGGAGTAGAAGAGACTCTACTTCGGGCTATAGATCTCAACTTGATCTTGCAATTTCTTTACAATGTCCTTACTGTGGTGTCAGCCTGTGCCTAGTCCCTATCATAGCAGCCCGACTCTTGCCTATCGAGCACTTTTGACAATCTGTGATTCACTTGTTTTGCCGGCTTACCATCTGTCTGCGCCATCAGAATGTCAGCTTCATGCAGACAAGCATCCATCTGGCTCATTTGTTGGGTCTCCGGTGTCTAGCTTACCAGCCAAGGAACCACAACCTCAAATGAGGGCAACCTTAGTGCCTCCAGAAGGTTTTTGGACATGTCTGACCTTTAGGATACTATTTCTTATGTTGAGCCACAATATAATACTTTACTTTGTAATACCGATGTAATTCTAATATTGACTCTATCATTAGGCCAGAAGAACAAATATAATAGTCCTTCTACTTGAGAACTGTCTCTCAATCTTTTGAGAAATTTTCAGATTCTTTCTGTATCATCTGAGGGTTGAACACACTCTAGTCTCACAGGGTCAAGCTTCTGGTCTTGAGCAATAAATCAGTCAGAGAAGCAAAACAACAAAAGAAAATGTAGCTGGGGAACTTAGAGTGGGGAAACCAGCTTTCAAATATGGTCTTAGAGAGAAAAATATCCTGGCCTGAGCCACATGTCTCACCAGAGATGGAACAGAACCGTCCCTGCCATCACTTCACAGGTGATGAAGGCAGACCAGAGAGAAAACCTGGGGGCTGAGTGGAGGGCGTTTATGTTAACAGTCAGACTGAGAGGGACTGTTGTGGGTAAGGAGCAACAAACATAAGACGTTAGGTGTGGGCACTGTACAGGTATATAACAGGGTCTAGTAGCTGAAAATTTAGGGTTTGACTCGTGGCCACTGACTTAATGGACATATGTTCGACGCTGATGAAGAAATCCTATGGACCAAAAATGTTTTTCCAGAACAGATGGTAGAGACATCGACGACACCAGCTGGTGGGGGAAGAGTCCACAAATTGGTTATTTGGAGATTCAAATGCCCCTCCCCCACGTATCTAACATAAGATTTTAACTTTGGGTCTTCATGTTGCTATCCAATTTGGAGGATGCCAGTCTGTTGGGTGAAAAGTTAGTAAAGTGAAACAAAACAAAACAAAACAAAACAAAACAGCAGTGGTGGAATTCTCATTTCTTTTCTTGAGAAAATGCAGCAAAACAAGCAGAAATAAAAATTTTACCTTCTAAAATGTGCATCCTGACAAGTTCAGAACGATCTGGTCGGCTCCGAATCTTATGCTTCAAAAAGTTTTCAGTCTTTAAAAAAAAAGGGAGAGAGAGGGAGAGAGAGAGAGTGAGAGAGAGAGAGAGAGAGAGAGAGAGAAAGTCTTACCATAGATTGTTTATGACTTTTTGTGGTTGTACATTTTTCTCTCAAGGTACTCCATTTAAATAAATTGTACACTCTCTGGTCATGATTTTGGGAAGTAAAGAGTAGAAATTAGTACTTTGAAAAGCTATTATCCAATACATAATTTAAATTGCAGCCTTCAAAACTGTACAGGGATTTGAAGTGCACGCTGGCATAAAGTAAGCACTTTACAGACTTTTATTTTAAAACTTGGAGAAGGCAAAAGCTTATAATTTGAACAGACATCAGATTTTGATCATTTAAATAGCTAAACATCTACACTTCAGGACACAGAAAAATCCACCTAAATTACAAATTTCTTTAAAATCCTAATGTATGTTTGTTGGTAAATTCATATCCTTGATGATATTTTCTTATTCAGAACAGTTCTCAACTTGAACAATAAGGCTTTCAAATGGGTTTTCTGTTTTATAAGATGCTAAGAGATTATCATTGAGTTCTGGGAAAATTCCTATGGAATTTTTGGAACATGCTTATTTTTGTATTGCACGACAGAAGTTTTCCCTAAAGGAAAAAGGACGAATGTGCACAAGGGTCCTTTTAGAGAAAAATAATAAACATGAAATCAATGTGCAAATAGGACAGAGACCTCTCAAAGAGTAAAACAGGGCTGAACCTAGCTACATTTTTTTTATTCAGCAAATCCTCCTGCCCTTCAAAGGTACAGCTACCACGGACCCGGTCAAGAAACTACCTAAAGATGGGGAGTCAGGACAAGACCGGGCTGTTGGTCTGCCGGGGTTGCAAATGTCAAAACTACTCCATCATTATTCTAAAAACTGTTGGTATGCCCTGAAAGCAACAAAGCGAGGTGTGCTTTGTCCTTTATGTACAAAACTAGTCACAAGTCTTAAAAGAACAAAATTTGAACGTCATGCATTTTCTACAAACTCCCAAGATAAAACTACCTGAGAATATATTACTCTGCACGCCACGTGTCCTGAAAATACACTGCATTTTCTCTACTGACAATACTTATAAGTTAAGACTGCTACTTGCCCACAGGTACTTTAAAATAAAAGAGAGAAGCCGAGAAGGAGAACATTTGAAACTGGAATTTCTTACTCTGGCTCGTTCCAAGCTTTTTATCTGCTCATGGAATGCAGCTGGGCTCTTCAAAGCTGTGAGAAGAACAGGAATCATTTCGGGAGCAGAGACAGGCGTTAATATTTCAGTCAAATGTTAGGGTACTTTATGTTGATGTTCCTTCCTCATCTTATTAGTTTGTATCTACGGTTCCATTTATTACTAGTTCCTTTAGGAGATGTGCGAAATTGGAAACTTAAATGTTTCAGAATGAAAACTGTGTCTTCACAAATAAAACAAGTGAACAGTAAAATAGAGTTGTATACACAATGACAATGCAAATGCCAGGTCAGATGGTTCCAACCAATAGTTGGGCCAAATCACCATCACCAAGGGAACTGTGTGGTGATTCCTTGACAGGTCTTTGCTCTTAGTGATCCTATAAGATGCTGGAAAAAGCCCAAATGTCCTTAGGACATTTAACCTACGGGTGATCTAATCTTGAACACGAGGGCACTCTGCACTTCCCTCTAGCAGAGCTGAGTTACCGTTTACTGTGACCGCATGTGCTCCTAGCCCGATGCACTATGGTCCATCACAGGTACACGCTGTTGACCATGACAGTGACTTTGCAAGGTAGGTATTAGCCCCAGGACAGATAAAAGGCTCAAAGCGGTTCAAGGACTGCTTGAAGTCATACAACTAAATTGTGGTAAAAGTTGAACTTAAATCTAGAATTGTGAATGAGAAAGTTTCGTGCTTTTTCTATTGTATAACAATACAGCTTACGCTAAAGACATAGTGTTTCTTTAACATGTTAACTATTAGTATTTTAAATATTCCAGAATCCCAGAATGAGGATAAGCAGTGTTTCGCTAAAACATCACTTACTATAGTATTTCTATCAATTATCTTTGCAAAATCTTTTGTGTGTACGTCTACTTATAACTCTAGGCAGTCAGAGAATGTGGATGGGATTTGGGCTACGCTTACTTGGGCTGTCACCTCCAAAACCTGGCCCGTCGGCTCTTGGCAGAATTATTTTCAGCTCTGGCACCTGACACTGCAAAGATTCCCAGCGGCCCAGCCCAAACAGGTCTGACTAGGGACCAGCTAGAGTCTTAAATATCCTAATTCGACACTATCTGACTGGTTCATCATCAGTAATGTAATGGTAGAGAAGTCTGGCAGATTACCAACCCTGCTTTTGTGTCTATCATAATATGAGATTTAAAATATTTAGATAATTAATAGTAATCCAGAAAAAATTTTTTTACTGGGAAATGTATCTACTGCAGAGAAAAATTGTTCTAGGAACCAAAAAAAAGGGGGTAATATCAATGAGTCAGACAACAGGGAAGTGTAAATATGGTTTGTAACTTCTCTTTAGTCTTTTAAAGCCAAATAAGTTACTTTTTAGAGAAATCAATTTTTAGATAAACACTCATATAAATAATCCTAACACCAAAGCAACCAGTCTCCCCCTCTAAAATATAAAATCACCTCCCAACTTAGTGAGTAAAGGTAAGAAGACAATGGGCAAATATTCTTAAAAATTAGTCAACTTTTAAAAATGAAGGAAGGAGGCATCAAGATATTTGGAAGTTAGGTGTATGTGGGCAAGAAAGGGTGTATTAATTATAAGTAGAATGCTTATCAGTCCTATAACTGAGATGCCCTTCATTCCAGACCACACACTATATTGTATCAAAGGTAATTATTTTGAATTAAAGTAGAACAAGGTTTTTGAATTAATTTTATCATCCTACTCTTGCAAGTCTAAGTAACAGCAGACCTATTACGGAGAGATGACTTCAATTACTTCAAAACTAAAACAAATGTTCATGCATGAGGTAAGACCTGATCTTAACCCGGTTTCCCAGTTTTCTTTATGTAATACAGAATTCAGGTCCATCTTTTAAGCTGCATCTGGCTTTCAGAATGTATTTGAGATGATTCTCTTAGGCTGGCACTGCTGATGCCTGGTTTTCCTTCTCAGCGCGTGCGGTAATCGTATATGGAACCAATGGACACAGCTCAAAGCAGAGTGTGCTCCAGGTTCTCCTTGGGCACGTGCATTGTGCTACGTCACCCTGGAGGTGACAGCGGCGCTGAAATCTTACGTGGCATGATGCCCTGGTCCACCAGTTGCTCCCTTGTCCTCCTCTGCTGCAGCCTCAGCTGGAGCACTGTGAAAAGGAAAGAACCACCATTGGAGTTTATGAGCAAGGACGGGATCCAACTCGCCAAGCCCCAGGGGGGATACAACTAAGCTTTATTAAGCACCTTCTATTCCTAACTGAGTAAGGATACCACCTGGCACCGTCGGACTGATAGAAAATTGATGTGTAGTTTCTACCTGTTTGCAATCACAACGTACTCAGCCAATAAACCAAAGTGGTTGGTCTATACATTAAGACTTCCTAATAAAATAGTCTAATTGGTAGAAACAGAAATGTGGGATTCCTTTACATTGGTTTTTTTTTAAGTAAGTTAGTAACAAAAATTTATTTTAACATTGACTTATTTGGAGAGAGTCGTGCCATCTGGAATGAGTTTTAAATAGCTCTAATGAAGATCAAATTTGTAATAAAAATTAGACCTGTGAGATATTACTAATGAGCCAAAGGAAAATTTCTACATTAAGAACTTAAAGTTTAATAATCTTTGCACAACCATAACACCATGTCTCATTCTACAAGTTCTCAAAAAGCTGAAATCAATTGATATCATTTTAATGAAGAAAGAATAAATGAATCATTAGAACTTGTAGGGAATGAAGAATACATCACAAAATTTAAAAATCCATTTTGCCAAATCTAATAAAAATAATTTCCCCCCTCGATTTCTCAAGCAGCTTCCTTTCCTAGCATCTATTTTTTTTTTCTTTAAATCTGGAAAACGAGCCAATTTCACACAAGAGGAATACATGAAGTAACTCTGAAAATTACTTTCCTTGGTTTACCTTACATTCAATTTTAAGTTTCTATTTTGATTTTTATGGTTTCATCTGTGGATAAAAACCAAGGTGAGCTTCATTAAGGGTCTGAGTAAGGGTTGTCATGATGCTTAAAAAAAAAAAAAATTACCTTAATGTATTTCTTGAAGAAAGAGAGAGAATGTTCTAGCGAGGGGGTGATGGCTTCAACAAGAGGCTAGCTCAGACCAGTCTCGTACCCAGGCTCAAATGCAATGAACACAATGGCTCCTACTTCCAATAAACCCCAACAGCTAAAGATGCAGGGCCCACAGCCCTCATATCCTTGCTTTTTGCTTGCCCTTGTGCCGACTACAGAGCACAAGCCTAGAGAGACTTCCAAAACAGTCCAGACTGTAAAATGGCTTTTAAACACATTTCCTTATTCATTGTTAGATATGAATGTCATCCTTTATTAAATACTGAAAAAAAAATTCTTTTGCTGCTTCTGGAGGCCATAGGATCACAAAGGGTCAGTGACGTCCCATTTAGAATCGAAGCAACTGACCCAAGATTCTATTACGTGAAGCAAAAGAAAAATTTAATGGGTCAAAAAAATATACGCACATGCTTCTCAGACTAAAATGGTGTGTGCTACTTTGAATCAATTATGCTTAACACAAAGATCTTTTCTCTGATAACTTATAGTTTACTGAGGATAGTATGTTCCCATCGCAGTACTTTACCAGGAACAAAAATAAGCCCAAAGAGATGACCCAAGCATAGCATAGCACCCAGATGCCTGGCACTCTAACGTTCTTCTGCGAATGCTAAAACTAATGCTTGTCTGAGTTTGAGACGGTCACACTCAAGAATCCCAACGAGAGGGGGCGCCTGGGTGGCTCAGTGGGTTAAAGCCTCTGCCTTTGGCTCAGGTCATGATAAATGATCCTGGGATCGAGCCCCGCTTCCCCCTCTTTCTCTGTCTGCCTCTCCGCCTACTTGAGATCTGTCAAATAAATAAGTAAAATCTTAAAAAAAAAAAAAATCCCAACAAGAGGAATACTGAGAGGAGAAAAGGGTGAGAACAATGTCCAGTTCAAAGGCTGACACTTCTGGAACCCGGTGGTCCATGTCCGCTGACGCATCTCTAGCAGGAGTAGCCTTCCTTTCTCACAAGGGAGTCCTCAAAGAAAGGTGTAAAACAGAAAGGGTAACGCAAGCATCACCAGCCCCCTTCTTTGGTTTAAAACAAGCAAACGAAGCACCATACTTGAGACAAATGTATCAAACACAATACATATTTTTAGGGCGAATGGCATCTCGGAATGACGGATAGGTTGGTGACAACTTCATGTGCAAACCAACAGTGATGACAACAGCCCGTCAGCCTGGAAGTGTCTCCTGACCGCACACCGGGCAGCCGCACTCATGCACGGTGATGGCAGCGCCGGCAGCTAGAGCACCTTGGACTAGAAACCACGTTCTCATGCTGACATGCAAGGGCATGTGCTACCGCGAGGGTAACACTCAAAGTGAAGGCATGTCACCAATGTTCAAGTCAAACCAACACCAAACGCGGACCACCTGTGTCTTCCATCCGGCTTCCTATGTGGCAAAACAAGCTTCCTATGTCACATTGCTGGAAGGCAGGAGAATACGCTGCCCAAATCAATTCTCTTCCCATTGCCTACTGAATTTTCCCAAGATGCACAATCATCACACTGCAGCTGGGGTGGCAGGCAGCCCCCTGCAGGCACGTTCGCGGACTAGGGCCCACCCACTCGGGGTCTGCTACTGGCTGCAAGGTGCACATCTGCGACGCGTGGCCGAGAGCAGCAGGAGCAGCAGCTAAGAATGGAAGGTGTGCTTTAAAGCAAAGCCGTCAGCATGACCAGGAATGGATGAGGAGGCAGAGGCACAAGTAGCTAGCCAGGCTGTTGAGACTGATGACCCAGGCTGATTAGTGTTCACTGCAGCACGAGGTGGGCACGCGGGACACGTGATACTGAGTGTCGGGCACCAGGCCCTGCAGAGAGACTCGGGTACACTGCCACTTTGGGTCAGTGTTAAAAACACAATAACCGTATTGGCCCAGAGAAAAGATAACCTGATCGATCACAACCTGATCGAAGTTCCCCTGAGAATAACTACGGGTTATAAAAAGTACCTACAGGGGCAGACTCAGAGTTCTGGGAAAGATCAACCTGCCTTTTAGGACTTGCCACTCATCAAACCAGCGCACGAGTTCACGTTTAAGTGACGAGCAACATCTGCACCCCGGAGGCAGAATGAACAGGCCAGGAAAGACAAGGCTGCGCGACTGTCCTCCAACCACTGGAGCTGGGAGAAAGCAGCGGTGCTCAACCCGGCAGCGAAGGGGTGCGGGGCCCTCAAGATGGACGACTTGACTCTGTTAATGATCAGGGAGCCGTCTGCGGTTGTGGGATCAAGATGCTTTCTCGGGGTTCTCGGGGGCCTTTATGAACTGAGCCTGGATACCATCTTCCTGGCCCCCGGCAGGCGACAGACTCATGTCCCCATGGAGACAGGGAAGGCCCATAATGCTGACCACCACTGGGCCTGCTGCACAGTTGTCGTTCTTAAGACAAAGGAGGAAACTGTCACGCCGGCTGGTCTCTGGAAAACCTGACACACTCTGCACGTGTCGATAAGACTGCATTTCTGTGGCCACAAACGCAAGCCCAGACTCTGGTCCAGGCGTGCCTTCCTGTGGTGGCGGCAGGTGGTCGTACAGCTGCCTGAGAAACCAGTGTCCCGGGCAATGGCTCGTGTCTGAAAACCGAACCTGACAGCATTCTTCCTGGCGCTGATGTAGTTGATCAACTGAGCTACTGGGCAACTCCATCCCAGTACCTCATCCACGGCCTCCACCCTATTAGGAAACTGACTAAAATCGAGGGTTCTCCATGGCCACTTTGCAAATACTACATGCAGGATAAGAAACCATGTAAATCTAGAGAATTCTGAGGGAGGAAAAAATAGTTCAAAATAGTGAGAGGCTCATCCTTTCAGGAAACAAAGGACATAGTAATAATAGAGTAAAATTGAACTCACGTTACAACTGCTCATATGGGAACAATTTCAAAGAATGTCTTTATCTTTTGAAAAAGGTAGAAATGAAATAATCCAACACATGGGCCCATTAAGTCCGTAACTTTAAACTCAATGAGTTTAATTCCTAGAAGGAAGAATGTCCTTATGTGGTCCACACAAGGTATGACCATGAAGTGGTGAGACTAATCTCTTCATGCACAAACCAGCATCTTTTGAAATTACTGAAGATGTGTGAGACCATGGACATGGACTACTTTATATCCACTTCATTTAGAGAAAGACCCTTTTTTCATCAATTATTGAATTTTTCCATTTCAATATTTCAACAAAGAAGAGGAAACACAATTTTTAAAAAAAATTTATTTTTTTCAGTGTTCCAAAATTCAGTTTATTTTGAAAATTCCACTTCACATTATTCTTTGCCACAACAGATAAAAACAATACTGATCAACAGAAGTGTTTGCAACTTGTTCTTTTTCCAGAAAAGAAATGCAAAAATCTGATTTTTAACCACCATTCCAAAGAATGAAAGGTAGCTTATTATCTAATGTTAAAGAGGAAATGTCCCTCTAATTCAGCATCACAAATAGTTTACACATTAAAGAGTACTTTCTTTTAGTTCCTTTCCTCCACTTCTTAAATGGACCAAACTGCCTTTAGAACAAAACTTCAGGATTAGTTTTCCTACGGAAAAAAAACCTTAAAATGCAGTAAGGTCTTTCATATAATACTTATACCCCACTTCAAGATTCTCAGCTGCTTTTTGAACCATGGTGATATGTCCTTTCTCTTTTGTTTCTATATGTATAATACTTGAAATGTTTCTCTAATATGACATAATTAAAGTGATTTTTCACTCTAAAGGGGAAAAAAATACCACGTTATGCAGCATTTTAATAACAGACGACAGTTTAGAACAAGTTGAACAAGCCAAAGCAAAGCACAGTTTTGGGCACGAGCTTTGCAAAGGGACATCTGAGGACTGTATACTATAAAAACAAGGCAGAAATGACCCTTTCTGGGAAGCGGTGTGGCAGTCAGCCATGGTCTTGGAAATTCTTTATAAATAGCTGGTTTCAGTTATGGGGTATGAAGGAGGGTAGGCTAAGAAGGGGAGGGGAGATGAGCAGCTGTCTGAAAATTAAGAGGACTCAATGTATGTTATTTAATTGCAGGACATCGGGCAGAAAAGAC